ATGCGCACGCGCGTTATACAATCGCAGGCCACGGTTTGCCCGTTACGGTGCGTGCATACGAGGCAGCCGGAGATATTGAAAACGAGAGTTTCGATCTGTCTGCGCTCGCTGTCTCTCCCAGTCACGAAGGAAAGTGTAACGGCACCGGAGGATTGTGCCGGAGAATAGAGAAATGAAAGTGGCCAGCCTGTCAATGGACCAACCGTTCATGCACGAAGTCGACATTTAGCGGCAATTAAAGCGAGAACACACGAACGTGCCACCGATAGGACAGGGAGTTTGTTTTTTAGCAGAATTCTTGCTTCTTTATTGGTCATCCGTTTGATGTGTTTGTGCGTCGAGCTGGGAATAGGTGGAGGGTTTTTGTTTGCCTATCTTTGGTCGTGATCGATGAGGTTAGGAATGAATTTTAGCCAGTTTTTTGTGGATTTCTATTTCTTTTTGTAATAACGATGGTGGATATTATTTATAGCATTAATGCGTGCAATATGTGTATAGTAGGTAAATGTAGCTGTGAATATACGTACATAAGTAGACGGAATTGTAAATACTTATAACGTTGAAATATGGCGAGTTGAAAATGACGAACGAAAAAATTTGGAAATGATTACTTAAGATTGTTTTGATATTTCATTAGTAATCTATGAAATAAAATATCTATTCTTTTAATTTCTATTTTATTGTGTTTCACCTGATACCTTCTAATTACAGAAAAGTCAAAGGAACGTCTCGAAGATAAAGAGACAATTTAGAAATCCGTTTGTACGCTTGGTACTGTTTTTATAAGAGAAGTTAACAGTTTTCACTTTCGATCAAAGTGACTTGTGTTGTCGTCGTAATAGTTTCAAATCGTTTTTCCTTGTAAAGATTGCGACGGGAGATGTAATGTGTTGAGAATAAAGAAGAAATTGTCAAGTACTTTATTTTATCAAACTAACGATAAAATTTCTCACTTCGAAAGTAGGTAAACTGTGCATTTGAAGGAAAAACATCGAACTATCTTCCACTTTACAATATTAACAACATAAATAAGAAATTAAAAATAATGAAATGAATAATCTGAATGTAAACGTTTTTCTAAATTAATATTAACTTTCGACAAAAGTGAATTGCATTGTCAGTGCAACACCCTTAAAGTCTTTTTTCCATGTTATGAAGAAAGAAAAATATTTAGAAATCTAAACGCCGATTACAATTATGATTATTATGTCGAAACTTTTGTTCGAAAAGAAACGAACTCTGCCATTCGAAACATTTAAGGCTGTTTTTTCTATGTGAGAATCGCGATGTGAAATTTAGTATTGTAGGATAGTGTAACGTTGTTTCTTGCATATGAGCATGAAGCCTCGTATTTCAGCAGAATCGTATTCGTAGAAGCAAACTTCAAGTTACGCTAGTTTTATACGCGATGACCGTGATGATTACGATTTTCTAACGGAGTAGAATAATTTATCTAAACAAAAGTCAGGTACCCGCATTATGTTCGTAGAAGAGGATTCATGGCTATGGCACGTGGACACGTTGCTATCGTTGGACAAGGGCAATGCGCTGCACGTATTCAATTTACTATTTCCTTTCTACTGTACTTTTTAGAAACTGGTTATGCGGAGATTTTGAATTTAAATTCTGAATTTATCGTTCGAGTAGAAAAATGGTCAAATTAAAGTTGAAAATTCTTCGTTAGAGTAAAATTTGAATTTTTCCATGAATAAAACAAAATTATATTTTAAATTTCCCGCTAAAGTGGAATGAAAATTTTAAGGTTAACTTGCAGAAATTAAAATATAAAAATAATTTAAATTTCCCGCTAAAATAGAATTTAAATTAAATCACAGAAATTAAGGTTAAAAACAATTTAATTTCAATATCAATTTTTCCATTCAATGTTAAATATTTCTCTGTAATAAACTATATTTTTCACGTGTGGAAAAATCAGTGAAATTGTAAATAAAATTAACAATTATCAGCCGGAATGAAACTCGGTCGAAACTGAAGAAGGCTCGAATAAAACACCGGTATGATTTTATACAAAGCGATACTCAATTCGATCGCTCGTTTGTCTTCGAAACGAAATGTAAATCCTGCTCTTATTTCGCCGATGAAAAAGAAGCTAGCCTATCTACACGTCAATGCTAATTAATTAGCTTCTTTTATGGCTTCTAAAAACGATGCTCGATTCCAATGAACTCTTTACGTATTCACATAACGGTTGCGTGTTCTGTTTTCCTATAATGTACGTTCGTCTTACGAAACAACCTTCGTTTCATGAAAAAGAAGGGAAAATACAATTGAATTTAATCGTTCTTTCGATTTCGTGTTCACGCGATACAAGCTATAGAGTCGGGTTTAATTTACATTTTCGAAACAAAAACGGTGTATTTCACTCGGACGATTGTTTGGAAAAACAGTAACCGTGATTCTGGCACGTTTAGTCCGTCGAAAACGAAACGTACAATTAAAGAACAGAAATGAAAAGAAACTAGGGCGACAAAGTGGCACTCCACGAGGGGGAAAAGTAGCACAAAATTGGAGCTATCCGAAATTTCCGTGTTAATTATTCTAGCTTGATTTCGCGGTCAGAGCCTAGATACGAAGAAAGTGGACAAACAAATTATAAATCAAGAATGAAATTTTTCTAAATGTTTCGATTTTTTATGCAACAGTAACACTGATGTCATAGTCGAATTTTAACACTTTAATCCTTTGAACGAAGTGAGTAATGGAGATACGTGAGTTTAGTTTAGTTGAGTTGAGTAGTATCATATTTTACAAAAATTTATAATATTCCTTGTAATATTC